CCTGCTCTCTCCTCAGTGGCTACTTTGTCACAGCCAATGAGAAGAGAGAAGGGGTTCAGGTGAGTATTGGGGAAGCTGTGAAGAAGGAACACAGTTTTGTTTTTTTTTGTGTAAAATACCTTCAGCCTTTACAACCACTTTACGTTGTAGGAAGTGCCCTGAGCACATGAGGTGTAGAAGAGGGCAACATAGTTCTGAGATTATTTTCTTTTTTTCCAGTTAAAGCTGAGCTCCAGCTTTTAATGAAGTTTAAATTGTTTGGATCAAGCTGGTCAAACAAACTAACTATTGCCTTCACTAGGAGATGCAGTGTCTGGGAGCACTCTATAAAGTGTATGTAGAGATAGATATATAGAGTTGTGTTGAAAATAGTCAGATATCACTAACCTCATCAATCACTGTTTTTGGTAGAAATAATATTTGTACATGGCAAAAATAATTTACTAGCAGGTGTAGTAGAGTAATAGAAATCCAACAGACCCAACAGTCATGACATGCATGCTGCTGATTCTGTGTAATTGAATCACTAATTGAAAGGGCATGTTCAAAATAATAGCAGTGTGGAGTTCTATTAGTGAGGTCATTCATTCTTTGAAAACCAGGTGGCAATTATTGCCCTTATTTAAGGAAGGAAGGCAGCAAATGTTGTACATGCTGGTTACAGTGCATTTCTCTCTGAAATTCTGAGGAAAATAGGTCGTTCCAGACATTGTTCAGAAGAACAGCGTACCTTGATTAAAGAGTTGATTGGAGAGGGGAAAACATAAAAAAATGCAGAAAATGATAGGCTGCTCAGCTAAAATGATCGCAAATGCTTTAAAATGGCAACCAAAACCTGAAAGACGTGGAAGAAAGCGAAAAAAAACTACCATGCAAATGGTTAGAATAGCCAAAATGGCAAGGACTCAGCCAACAATCATCTCCAGGAAGATCAAAGAAGGTCTAAAGTTACCTGTGAGTACTGTTACAATTAGAAGACGCCTATGTGAAGCCAAGCTATCTGCAAGAAGCCCCCGCAAAGTCCCACTGTTGAAAAAAAAGACATGTGCTGAAGAGGTTACAATTTGCCAAAGAGCACATTGACTGGCCTAAAGAGAAATGGCACAACATTTTGTGGACTGATGAAAGTAAGATTGTTCTTTTTGGGTCTAGTGGCCGGAGACAGTTTGTCAGACGACCCCCAAACACTGAATTCAAGCCACAGTACACTGTGAAGACAGTGAAGCATGGTTGCGCAAGCATCATGATATGGGGATGTTTCTCATACTACGGTGTTGGGCCTATTTATCGCATACCAGGGATCATGGATCAGTTTGAATACATCAGAATACTTGAAGAGGTCATGCTGCCTTATGCTGAAGAGGAAATGCCCTTGAAATGGGTGTTCCAACAAGACAACGACCCCAAACACACCAGTAAACGTGCAACATCTTGGTTCCAGACCAACAAGATTGACGTAATGGAGTGGCCAGCCCAATCCCTGGATCTTAATCCAATAGAAAACTTGTGGGGTGACATCAAAAATGCAGTTTCTGAGGCAAAACCAAGAAATAGAGAAGAACTGTGGATTGTAGTCCAATCATCCTGGGCTGGAATACCTGTTCACAGGTGCCAGAAGTTGGTTGACTCCATGCAACACAGATGTACAGCAGTTCTCAGAAACAGTGCTTATACAACTAAATATTAAGTGATTCAAAGGAAAGCAAAATCTTCAAACATTTTTCAGTTTATATAGTGAATGTTTGAGTTTGTAAAGAAGAATACAAACACTGCTATTTTTTGAACAGTCTAATATTCACTTTTCTTCACTTTTTTTTTTTAGAGGAACAACACAAATTTGATATATTTTTCTTCATGTTTTGATTTGGAATAGAATGTGTAGTGTTCCCAATGCATTTGTGTGTATGGAAATAAAAGCTATTAGAAGGATTTTGAGCTTTTTTCAACACACTGATATTATTTTAAACACAACTGTATGTATATGTATTTACACACACACACCTTCTTGGACAAAATAAATCCCTTCTTCATGTAGAATCCTAATCCAAAGCACCATAGGCCCAAGTCCACATGTGCAAGTGCCGTTTCCTCTTCATCATTCCCTGCCCCACCTTTCCCGGGCTTCCTCCTGCTTTCTTCCCACCCCATGTCTCCTGACTCCCCATCTTTCATTTCCGAAGACTAAATCTTTACTATACACAGCCCCTTCCACCTCCTTTATTTAAAACTGAAGAAGTTTAATTAGTTTATTTGGACCAAGCTGCTCCAAGGAGAAAACTATTAGCCTCGCTAAGAGAGGAAGTGGCACTGTGCTCATCTTTTCAAAAAGGAGCCTTGAATTCAATTAATAAATACAATATTTCCTCTGATGGGCTAAAGATGTCACAATCTCCGTCTCAGCCAGAGGAAACTTGTATTCCTTTATAGAATACGGCTTCCTGGAAAAGACAGTACAGCACAATTTCCTTGCTACTAAATATTCCACGGTCAACTGTTTGTTATAGTACCACTAAGTGGAAGCAACTGAGAACAGCAACTCAGGCACAAAGTGGTAGGCCTCGTAAAATGACAGAGCGGGGTCAGCACATGCTGAAGTGCGCAGAAGTTGCCAACTGTCTGCAGAGTCAACAGCTAAAGACCTCCAAACTTCGTGTGGCCTTCAGATTAGCACAACAAAAATGCATAAAAAGCTTCATGGAATGGGTTTCCATGGCCGAGCAGCTGCACCAAAACCTTACATCACCAAGTGCAATGCAAAGCATTGGATGCAGTGGTGTAAAGCACGCCGCCACTGGACTCTAGAGCAGTGGAGACGTCTTCTCTGAAGTGACGAATCAAGCTTCTTTGGCAATCCAATGAACATGTCTGGGTTTGGCATTTGCCAGAATGATACTTACCTGACTGCACTGTGCCAAGTGTAAAGTTTGGTGGAGGGGGGATTATGGTGTGGGGTTGGGCTTGGCCCCTTAGGTCCAGTGAAGGGAACTCTTAAGGCGTCAGTATTCCAAGACATTTTGGACAATTTCATGCTCCCAACTTTGTGAGAACAGTTTGGGGATGGCCCCTTCCTGTTCCAACATGACTGTGCACCAGTGCACAAAGCAAGGTCCATAAAGACATGGATGAGTGAGTTTGGGGTGGAGGAACATGACTGGCCTGCACAGAGTCTGGCCTCAACCCAATAGAACACCTATGGGATGAATTAGAGTGGTGACTGCGAGCCAGACCTTCTCGTCTAACATCAGTGCCTGACCTCACAAATATTCTTCTGGAAGAATGGTCAAACATTCCCATAGACACACTCCTAAACCTTGTGGACACTGTATATAAATTATCCTTATTTATCTAATGTTCTGCAGATATTTATATATTTGGTATAATATCACATTAACTTAAAAGAACTCAGGAGAGTTATATGGTGGTTTGTATTTTTTCCCTAATGTATCTGAACTCAATAATATTAGTGATTAAGTTCTTTAAATTTGCCATAACAGCTGGGAGGCACTGCATTTCAATTTCATTCATAATTCAGGCGCCACCCTTTACATTAATAATGTATCATTCACATTAGAATCCACCACACTATTATTGTCACGTTACCACGACAACACTTTTTTGGCGATCTGTAAGCATTTTGCCAAGGCGCCCCTGAGAAAACCTGAAGGCACCCTGGCTGAAAAACACAGTTCTAAACAGTCCTAGGAATAGAACATTTTGCATTAAACAGCCATTTATATGACAATGATTGCCAGTGCTATTACCTGGCTACACAAGATCAGTGACAGGAAAATGGAGCCAAAAAAATCTGCCACTCTAACAGAAGCTTTTCTGTATTAAATTGATTGCATACATTCAGTCTGCTTCAAACAAAAAATACCTGCTGCCAGATAAGAATGGTAGGTGACCCACTTATAAATTTTGATCAGTGTGAACAATCCAAAAACACTAACTGGACACATTAGGTGGCATAAATTTTATTTTATGTTGGAGACAAGTTAAATGATTTTTAGGTATTAAAAGCAAAATAATACAGGTTTAAATAAGTGTATGGTAACCTTTGTATGTTACCTATAAATAATGGGCATTGCTGTACTACAATATATGTCTGAATACACCAAACCTGGACAGTCATAGTTGTAATAATGGTAACAGCATACTGTTAAACCACATTCCAAAAAACCATGGTCATTAGAACATACTCCTAGTGAAAACAATGGAAACTGCTAAAAAGAGAAAAAAAAAAAAAAAGGCATCTGACAGTTCTCCATCGTATGCCATTTTCTAAACATGTATTTTAATTGTAAGTACCGTTAAAGCAACGGCATATGTATGAGCTTTATGTGTCATCTTCACACAGTGGAGACACTTCAGAAGCTTCTGCTTCCACTGTGTATGGAGGATCGGTACACTTACATAAACAGCACATCTCACCTAGCTACTACTTCACCATCTTCTGAAAGCCACAGATCGTTACACAATTCCAGCATTTTGCTGCCAAAAGTTCATATAAAAGCTTAAGGTTGAATAGTGAAGATGCTTATTACAGTTGCCACAATTCTTACAATTACATGGTATTTATTCTCCAGCCTTAAAATTGTTCCAGCAGCATATCATTTTTGATTGCGCCTTAAAAAGGTTGGCCAGTCATGGTGCCCACCAGTTTGTACTTGCAGACTTCTTTCCTTTCTTGCTGGCCGATTAGCTGACTCATAAAATTGATTCCTTCTGCATGGAATGTAATGGAGCCAAAGCATGGCACTGAATCTTGACAGGTCCGGTCATCCCAATGGTAGGCACTGCATTACAATTCAGGATTTAGTGCCCGATATTCTTTTTGTAATTGGCAAGTGGAAAAATCCAGATTCCCAAAAAAAAATAAATATCCAGCAAAGTTCAGTTTATAAACCACAAGGAAGCTTTCCCGTCCATTTATTTAGAAACATTTAGCCTTTTTACCAACCTAAAAAGCTCTCCTACCCGTCCATTTTCTTATTTTTTGTTCAAAAGGATAAAATTTCAAATTCTTCATCTTCAGAATCAAAGAACCTGTCAAGGCGATCCGCATCTGAGGAATCTAATACCAAAATGATTATTTGCCATTATATATAATATTACAATTTAATCATTTTTGTATACAAAAAAAAAGTCACATGAATCATTTTGTCAGAAATTTTTTTTTTTTTTTTTTTTATTTAACTGCCAGTGGAGACAAAACTTGAATGGGCCACTTGTTTGAAAACACAGCTTATATAAATGTAAATATGAACAACTAAAAGACAGCTTACCCATATCTATGGAATCACTCCTTAGCTAGCCAGGTCAGTGATATGATGCTGCCCTGCTAAGTGGAAGGCTCTCCTGCATAACTCTGCCACTGGCAATGTGTCTCAGCTGCAAAGTCACCTTTGTGACACTATTTGACCCTAACCTCTAATATGTTTAGTAAATTACAGAAAAAAATCTTTATTTCTATGCATCCTTTCCAAGAACACGGGGAAAAAGTAAAGTCTTAAAGGTGTTCCTGAATATTTGAACCTGAACTACACCAGGCAGATATTAAAATATTACCACTATGCAACTTTATGGCCAATTTACTAAAAGTGTGGAGCATGTTCACTTTGTAAACTGAATCTCCACTTAGCTTAGTGAACGTAAGGACAATTCACATGCAAAAAAAAAAATCACCTTCTGAAGTGGACACTTAGTAAATCAGACAGACATTCTGTTTTTAACCACCTTCCGTCTGCCATATAATACAATGACGGGCGCAAGGTGGTTCTCTCGTTCTGATATGACGACATATGACGTCCTTCCATCCTCACCGCACACGCGCAGCGATTGCCAGTGCGCTGTGTCCCTCGGACACAGCGGATCACGGAAAGAGCCGAAGATGTTGGCTCGGTCATGTGATCAGCTGTGTCCAATCACAGCTGATCACATGTAAACACGGAAATGCTGGTTATCGGCATTTCTCTCTTCTCGAGCTGTCACGCTGACAGCTCGAGAGGAGAGGAGAGCCGGTAAATCGGCTTTCCGCAGAGGGGACATGTACACTGATCATCAGGGCACTGATGATCATTGTGCCCTGATGATCAGTGTGGCCCCAAAAGTGCCACCTGTCAGTGCTCATCAGTGCCACGTGCCAGTGCCCATCAGTGCCACATATCAGTGCCCATCTGAGCTGCCTTTCAATGTCACCTAACAATGCCAATCAGTGCCACCTATCAGTGCTGCCAATCAGTGCCACCTATCAGTGCCAGTCAGTGCTTCCTATCAGTGCCGCCTATCAGTGCCATATATCAGTGTCATGTATCAATGCTGCCTTTCAGTGATGCCTGTTTATGCCCATCAGTGCAACCTACCAGTGCCGCCTCATCAGTGCCTCCTCATCAGTGCCGCCCGTCAGTGCCAGTCAGTGCCGCCCGTCAGTGCCAGTCAGTGCCGCCCGTCAGTGCCATATATCAGTGTCATGTATCAGTGCTGCCTTTCAGTGCCCATCAGTAATGCCTGTCAATGCCCATCAGTGCAACCTACCAGTGCATCCTCATCATTGTCACCTATCAGTGTCCATCAGTGCAGCCTATCAGTGCCCATCACTGCAGCCTCATTAGCGCACATCAGTGAAGGATAAAAATCACTTATTTACAAAACTGTAAAACAAAAACTAAGAAAAAACTTTTTTTTTTCCAAAATTTTCAGTGGTTTTTGGTTTAAGAAAAAATAAAAATCCCAGAGGTGATTAAATACCACCAAAAGAAAGCTCTGTCTCAAAAAATTGATAATTTCATATGGGTACAGTGTTGCATGACCGCGCAATTGTCATTCAAAGTGTGACAGCGCTGAAAGCTGGAAATTGGCCTGGGCAGGAAGGGGGTATAAGTGCCCTGTAGGCTAGTGGTTAAACAAGAACCTGCTGCAGGTATATGGTGTACACACCGAGGGACTCTTGCACATGCCTGCAGAAGCCTCAAATAGTCTGCAGATACTGATCAATATTGGGCTGCTCTGACAGGCAACACTCCAGCACTTCCCATTATTGCCAAAGTTTGCCAGCCCTTTGCTACCTCCTGCACATTTTTATAGGAAAGTAAGGCAACCCATCATTGTGAAAGGCAAATACGGATGTGAAGGGGGAAGACCTAGCAGCAAGCTTTGGCACTCTCCAGATGTATTTAACCACTTCCCCTCCGGCCGTACATAACATAACATGTACATAAACGACCAGACAGGAGCAGTGCAGGAGCGGGTGGCCATTTATAAACGGCCTCTGCATTCACTGCCTGTAAGCGCTCCCTGGGAGCTCGTGGCACCGTGATCCGCTGCCCGTTGTGTCCGGAACACGGATCGCTGTATGGCACCTCTGTGTGAGGTCCCGATCATGTGATCACTGATTGGCCAATCAGTGATCACACGAATAGTAGTAAACAAGATGTCACTTGCTGACATCATTGCTTACTAGTGAAATCTGGGAATGATCACAGAGGTCACATGGTACAAGGCTGTTCACAACAGCCTTGTAGCATGTGACAAGCTGTGATTAATCACAGTATTTCTCAATGGATGTAAAAAAAAAAAAAAAAAAAAAAATCTTCATCACCCCCACAAGTAGTACAGTATCACTATAGTGACACTGTACTGCTAGGGTAACAGTACGTAAAAAAAAAAAAAAAAAGGAAAAAAAATTTTTTTTAAATTATAATTTTTGGTTATAAACTAATTTGGGTTTTTATTTTTTACTAAAAAGACAGCTGAATACATTTTGGCCAAGATTTCTTAAGAAAGATTATTTATTTGCAAAATTTTATAAGAAAAACACTTTTTTCCAAAATGGACTTTTTCCTTTATATAGCAAAATCCCAGTGGAGAATAAATACCACCAAAAAGAAAGTTTTATCTGTCTCAAAAAAATGCTAAAAAATTCATATGGGTACAGTGTTGCATGACCGCTCAATTACCATTCAAAGTGTGATAGCACTGAAAGCTGAAAATTGGCCTGGACAGGAAGGGGGTGAAAGTGTCCAGACTTGAAGTGGTTAAATGTGGTTAAATGTATCTGAAGCGTTTAGTTTTTATGCACCTGCAGCAGGTTTTGTTCTAGAGTCATTTTAATCCAGTTATGTATTCATTAACACCTCATTTATTGTATTTCAAAAATCATCTAGTTTAAGTACACATTGGGGGAGATTTACTAAAACTGGTCACTCAGAATCTGGTGCAGCTGTGCATGGTAGCCAATCAGCTTCTAAATTCAGCTTGTTCAATTAAGGCTAGGTTTACACCTGTACAGATGGTTGCTGTCGCAGGACCCGCACCTATCCTCGCAGCCGCAACCACATGCACAGTGAGATGCAGTAGATGCAGCCAAGTTCCATTAATCCTAACTTGCGGTTCCCGTGCAACTTTGACTTAAAAAAATTACTGCAGGGACCTTTTCCTTGCGTTTCACGAGGCACAGAAGCCTATTCAAACGAATAGGCTGCCGTGCCCATGCAAACCATGGCCCGCACAGCCGCATTTTTGTGACCCAGGGGTAAGCTTTGACAATAAAGCCTGGAAGCTGATTGGTTTCTATGCAGACCTGCACCAGATTTTGCACCATGAAGTTTCAATAAATGACCCCCTATTTGTCTTTATTTCACATTACTGTAATCCTCTAATGTATGAGCTTTATTGTATACCCAAGTATACTTGATGAATGAAAGGCTCTGCATATACAGTAGCTCACAGCCTGCCTGCTTTTGGGAAAAGTGAAATGCCAGCAGGCTTAGATTTCAGGGACATATAGTACTGCTGGGGTAGGTGAACTGGTTCTAAGGTTCTTTAACCGTTTCAATACCGTGCAATTTTACACCTTCCTGCCCAGGCCATTTTTCAGGTTTCAGCGCTCTCACACTTTGAATGACAATTGCGCGGTCATACAACACTGTACCCAAACTAAAATTTTATCATTTTCTTCACACAACTAGAGCTTTCTTTTGGTGGTATTTAATCACCGCGGGGTTTTTATTTTTTGCTAAACAAAAAAAGACCAAACATTTTGAAAAAAAAACACATTTTTCTTTGTTTCTGTTATAAAAGTTTACAAATAAATAATTGTTCTTCATAAATTTAGGCCGAGATGTATTCTGCTACATGTCTTTGGTGAAAATAACCCAAATTAGGATGTATTTTTTAGTTTGTAGGAAAGTTATAGAGTTCACAAACTATGGTATAGATCTGAATATTAATCAATCCTGAAGTACTGACAGCCAATCTAATTTCTTGAGGTCCAAGAATGTCAGAATAGTACAGATATCCCCAAATGACCCCTTTTTGCAGAGTAGACAGTTCGACGTACTTCATAAGAGGCATGGCGAGTTTTTTGAAGTTGTATTTTTTTGTCATAATTTTTCGTAAAATGAAAAAATTAAAAAAATTATTTTCACTATTTTTTTTTTTACATACTGTCACCAGTGCAGTACAGCGTCATCATATAACTGGCATGGCGGTGAACAGGGACACTGACTGGTGACAGTATGAAAAAAAAATAATATATATATATATTAATATTATTTTTTTATATATATTTAATTTCTTATTTTTTTATTATATTTTTTATTTTTTTTAAATTTTTTTTCATATTTTACTATGACCAAAGTAGTACAATGTTACCATAGTAACATTGTAATACTTTGGGGAAGTGATCAGTATTTTTTTTTTTTTTTTTTTCTTTTTTTACACAATTTGCTTATAGCAAAGAATTACTTTGCTATAAGCAAGCATTTAACTGAATGAAATCGATTCATTCAGCTTTTTTTTTTTTTGTGCTTAGCTGTGATTTGGTCACAGCTAATCACATGACATGTGCATGTGATTAGCTGTGACCATTCACAGCTAGGCACTAGTATACAATGGATGGCATCATGAATGAAGCCATCCATTGTATACAACTGTCATGTGACCTGCTGTGATTGGTCGCGGCAGGTCACATGGTACCGGCAACGGGAGCCGGTACTCGGATCTGTCATCGGCCGTGTCCGAGGTGCACGGCCGGTGACAGATCGCACTGCTGCGCCGCTCTGCATTAGCGCAAACGGCGCATGTGCGGGAGCACGCCAAATGTCGTGCACCCGGAGTGGAGAGACCCTTCTGAAGCCGCCAAACGGCCATTGGCCGGGCGGCTAATGGTTAAAGAACAAATCAAGTATCAGTCTCACCTGGTGTAAGATTAAGTACATCTGGATTGGATAAATGAAGAGGCAACTGATCCACCACCTCAAACATAGGTAAGGCTCCAGTAGTAAGGTATAACTAGAAATAAGCAAATATCAATGCCATCATGGTTCAAATCTTGTGATCTATATATAGATAGAGAGAGAGAGAGATTTCAAGCAATCATTTCATATTGCTTTATAGATCTTCTGGTACAAACCTTTCTGATGTGTTGACACCAATCTTCAAAATCTTCCTCCGAATTGCAGAAGAATCCCTAAGATGCAGTAAAAGACTGGTCAGGGTTAATGCAGGGGTTCATATGGAGTTCTGTGCTAGAGTATCACTCACCACTGCAATGGAGGGGTCAATCTCAGACACATGCATTCGACATGGTGGATGCTGACAATGGAAGCTATCATCTATTATATCCCCACTGTCACTGGGCTCCACAGAGAGCTGTGTAGTGTGAGGATCCAAGTAAATCAGTTCATCCCCTGTAAAAATATATATAACTGAAATTACTACACAATCCCATCAATCAGAATTCTTTAAAAAAGTAAAATCATGTTAAATAAACAAACATTCAGACAATATTAAGCACTTTGCAAATTAAATTAAAAATAGAGGAAAAAAGTGTTCCTCCATTCCCAACAGCCTTAGTCCAGCTCATAAAAGGGTTCTTGTGCACATAGATGCTAATTTTCTTCAAAATACAGAAATATATCAGCCGCCATTGGTGGCATACACAATGCTACTTACCTGACTTTCTCTGGCCTCAATACTTGTGAGCTTCACACCCAGCAAAAGCATGTAGCACATGCATCTCAAGTGTGGCAAAATTCCCTATCTTTATACCTGTTTTGGGTTAGTTAATAAGAAAGCATTCAAGCCAAAATATCAGCATGGATATTAAGCAAAAAGCATTTTTTGCATAGACCAGAAATGCCAAATAACATAACATGATTCAGTTATGGTGTAAATATTGCTGTTGTGTAACCACCTTTACATCTGACAGTGCTTTTACTAAAGTATCAGTAATTTTACCATAAAGCTTAAAAAGTTTACCTGCAGGGCTATTATAGGCTTTCATATTGATTATATATTCGAATTTATCATTTCTGTTAATTTGTTGTGGCGTTGGATATAATATAAGAGGCCATTTTTAGTTAAAGAAAGCTGAAAATGTAAAAGTTAGTCTAGGGTTACTGTACAGGAGGTCAACTATGTGCAAGAAAATATTGCACAGAGCTATAGCTACTACTGCGTTGTATTTAGCCTCAAACATACCAGGGAACACTCCAGCTCTGGCATGGAAACTCTGGCTAATCAGTTTACCTACTGGGTCTTCGGGCTGCCAAGTGTTCCTTCTGGCTCAGTCAGCAGTACACTAACAGGAATCGTGACAGCAGCATCATTACTCCTGTTAGCCAAGAACCAGATTAATAGAGAGCCAGTAGCAGGTGGAGGAGGCTGTGTTCTCTCCATCTCTATCCCTCTGTGCACATGCTAGGACCTAAGATGCAGCAGCAAGTGGCCTTTTACACTGCTGTGACAAAGATAGGCAGTCTGTCCTCCTAAAGCACACCATAATTTGATGAAGATCCCTGCATGCTGACTCCAATGCCTGGAGTAAAAGGTAGATGAAGGGAGGGTGTGGGGGAGAAAGGCACACTGAGCTGGGGTTAATATGTCATTGTCACATTTCCCATATATGGTCACAATTGCCTGTTTGTTGTTCATGTTTGGTCACAGGTTTTTATTTTGTCAACATATTCTAACAATTGCTCATTTACAGTCCAAGTATTGTCAGGAATGCCTTTTCTGCCTTGTCAAGTTAAAGTGGTTCTAAAGGTAAAAAGATATTTTACCTTAATGCCATCTCTGCAATAAGGTAAAAAATATTTTAATAGCAGCATTAATGCATGTTTTGCATTAGGGGAAATACAAAACAAAAAAAATAAACAAAAACAAACCTTTCAATGGCAGCTCCTCCTTAAACGATTATCTGAGACTAGTCTCGATCCAGCACTGTCCTGTCTGCATTTCTTTTTCCCTCTCGCAGGCTTGGCTGACAGCAGCGGGAGCCATTGGCTCCTGTTGCCGTCTGTCAAATCCTGTGAGGAGGGAGCGGGGGAGTTGGGCCTTGTCACTCAGTGTGTGTCTATAGTCCAGCTAAGGAGTGAGTCCACATGTTTTCTCACATAGCATGTGGCTTGCTATGGGGCAGACACAGAAAAGAAGGATCAGAGAATGCCGGCAGGGGAAACCAGAAGAGGAGGTTTGAGGCTGCTCCATGCAATACCATTGCACAGAGCAGGTAAGTATAACATGTCTGTTATCGTTACAAAAAAAAAAAAAACACTTCACAAATCACTTTAATGCTGTTTATTACTATAATGTTATCCTCTAAAGACCGGACATTATCAAACTACAGCACTGTTAGCTCCATATTTAGATGTGGAGCACCATGGCACTTTCAGCACATCAATTTTAGCTCCTTCCCTACCCATTCATTTCTAGCTCAAAAAAACTTTGGAAAGATCTTAGGCCTGCTGATATCACTCATGAGACTTCTACATAACTATATATCATTATTAAAAAATTGTGACATATCAACTAATTTTTTCTTTTTTTTTTTTACACCTCAACCTGTCATCGCCAAGATTACTATAGCCCTTACTGTGATCATATGACTAAGTGAAGTTTATCAAACGTTATACCTACCCACATATCCTATGAAGTAATAAGCACTATTGGGTCGACCACCAATAACACCTAATGACTGGGGTAGCATGAAGCAGTGCTGTGTCATAACAACAGAGATATAAGAAATAAAGACATTAATACAAAGCTTTGCTAAAGATAAAATTCATAGTTACAATAAGTTGACTTAGAACCATAACAACATAATTTAGAAAAATAATATTTGAAATGTTCAAAAATTTTAAGTGAAAAATACCTTCAGGGTTTCAATATAGGCTTCATTGATCTCACTTAGACCCAGTCTGAGAGGTATGAGTAATACAAGAGGCTTCCATGGTATATCTGATTCAGAGGCCCCAGCGTGACCATTACACAGCAATCCAGCCTCACAGCTTCCTGTTCTGCACAACCGCCCTATGTATACCAAGAAAGGCATTACTGAAACATGGCACAAGCTTCCTTTAATTAGACATATTAAAATATATTCAAAATATTATAAATATATATACAGTATATATTAAAAAAAATTATATACACCTATACAAACATACATATACATAGTCTGATAAGACTTGAGCATTGAAGGACATTAGTAAAGTAAGAACAATAATTAAGAGCAGTGCTCATCTCTTAATATTGGTCCTCAAAACAGAATCCATTCTTTGCCCATGCACGGCAAAGCAGAACATTCACTTAAAATTATCCCTTCTTGTCCCTTCCAGCAGAATATACTTACCTTCATTTTACTCCCCCAACACTGTTCATCCTCTGATAAGAAAGGGAAAGATCAGCATAAGCTACGAGCCACCGGAGTCCTAGCTCACAGAGGAAGTCAGGAGAAATCTCCCCAATATAGTCAATACAAATCCTGCAGTTTCTATTCTCCCCTGCTCAAGCCAAAAACTGAAAAAAATATTTTGCTGGAGTTGGGCTTTAATGTTTTTTTCATACTCACTTATTTCCTCAGTGACAACTGTATTATCCATGGCGATGTGAACAGCTATTGAGCTCCACTGATCAAAAGCAGTAAGCTTTCTGCAGTAAAAAAAGAAAAAAAAAAAAAAAAAGCAGACATAACTACATCTGCTGAAAATTAATAAAAATATTTACGTAGATAAACAGTATGAAAAGTGTCAAACAAACCTTAACACTTGTGCCACAGTGTTTGGACCGTACCACTGTCCAATGTACTTCCCTTCGCCCACTCCCATTTGAGCTGTAACACCAAGCACACATTTACGAATATGCAGACAGCCATAATCTAACATTTAGACTCAATGTCACCTGTTTCACAACAGTTAAGAACGTATGTAAACCCAAACCACTAACTCTTACTTGCTCCATTGTGGTCTGTTACAAATACCATTGAATATGTTTGGTTATATCTCTTCAATAACAGTAAAGAACAACTGTTGATCTGCTATAAATCCAGTGTTGTCTTTTGTACTGTTGAGTATCATCAGTAGCACTATTAGCACAGACTAGTACAGCTCTGTGGACTGCAGAACACTTCCCCCTATGTTATGGGGAAAACTGGAAGGTGTTCTGCAGTCCTGTCCTAAAGGGAACAATGTGGCTCAATCATAAATACAGGACAGCAAGTGAGTGTGTCAACCTAGGACAGGAAGTGTGTTACTGGTAATATCACAAGGTGAAAATAAAGAAAACTAATACAGCTGCCACATCTAATGACTGGTAAGCCGTAATATATACAAATTTTGCTGTATTCTACATTATCCCTCCCCTTTATGTTATAGATATGAGGAAAGCAAGAGGTGTTCTGAAGTCCTGCCCCTACACAGATAAAGTATTCTAATAAATTGACGTGACAAGCTAATTTAGACTATTTAATAAGTAGGTTGACTATGCAGTTACACTAAGGCCACTTGTATCTCGCCCCTTCATAAAATGAAAAAACAGCTTTGTGTATGGATAGGCATTTTCAAGTAAATAATTGATTAAAAGGATAAGTTCACCTTTTTGCAGCTTAAAAAAAAAAAAAAAAATGTGCATTTATTTTTTGTCTGCAGGAGCCTGTAAAGCATTGCACCAGAGATCAGCAGATTGCTGGTGCCACGCAGGACTCCTGCTGATCTGACAGTATATCTGCTTGCCCGTACGGGATGCATGAGCAAGCAGATATACTGACAGGAAGAATGAATGAACTACCATGGCGCTCCACAGTTCATTGAGGACTACAAGCCGACAGCCGACAGTGACGCGGCTGGGCGAGCAGAGCCCCGAACGTCCGCATTTTGTAAAATTTGACAGCTAGTGGAGGGGGAGAAGATCCCCCACTAACTGTTGAAAAGGGGAGCGGGGGCCGGTTTGATCCTAACATGTTACACCCCGAATATGGGTGTAACATGTTACGAAAGGTGAACTCCTTTATGAAACATTTATGAAAAGGAAACAATGTTTTTTTTTTTTTTTTTAATAATACATGTGAGCAAGATCAGCTTAATATTAAAAAAAAAAAATCTTGTTATTGTATGTTAAAAAAATAATATAAAGATACACTTTTTTATGTGTAGTTTCTGATGATATATGGACACAAGGCAGCCATGTTCTCTCTTTACTTCTACAGGTCTTTTTCCTCACATACAAATGCATTTTAGCTGCGGTTTCTTACTTGTCTCTCTCTACAGTGTAAGTTTCCAACTCAAGGATTAGATTCAGGGCTCCAACAAGAAAGCAGGGTGGTAAGAGAATGTGAAGAAATCAAGTGGATCGGTGGCCTATCAAGAGAACCTGTCACTGCCCGTTTAAGGCAAAATGAAAGATTTGCTTTACCTCCTTTATAGAAAGGTGATGACATATATACAGAGAAATAACTAGTTTGTGCATCCATAAAAATAAAAGCACATCTGAGTTGTAAAGGGAACCTATCAAGTTAGTAACATGGTGGCTGTTCTAGCTAACTTGTTTTTTGAAGGTGCAGAATCTAGGGCTCTCATCCCTCCCTTCCTGGTGACTGACTTACTGTAACCAAGTGTGCATCTTTACGATCGATGTCTCTTACCCCAGGACAGATTGGCAAGGGTTGGGTGTTTACACAAATTTTACCATGTCAATACTCATGACCATGTCTGAAAGGAGCATTGTATTTTCTCAAAGCAACCAAATTAGCTTATTATTGTAGCCAGGATAAAAAACAAAAAAAAATAAAACAATCCTGTTCATTCAGTGACACAAGATCTCTGTACAGATACTTTCATATATAAAGGGATCATTCTCAAGTCACTGTCTGCCAACAGTATTCTCACCAATCTGATGAATAGAATAGTAACTATCTTTCTTGTCTAGAAAAGCAGTCAGGATACTGAGGTATTCCCCCTGTGGTTTCTGTTTGTTCCATCTCCAATCTGAGAAATAAAAAAATGCAAATAAAGGCTTTACTAATTATTTGTAATTTATAAAATAAATAATAATAATAGAAATAAGGGAAATCAATTTGAATGTTCCTATATATTAGAACTTATAGTTTAAAGTAAAATTCCAGGCTACCACCTAACTAGTATAATTAGCAATAAAGGTCTGCACACCACTATTAACTACACTATTCAGCAACCAGCAATATATTATTATTTAGGGTGCTTAATCCTCTCAACAGTGTATCTATCTGTTAGTACAACAGTGTTTAATGTATAGAGCAAGCATACCACATAACCAAATGGCTTTAGCAATAAGTTTGTATTAGGTATATACAGGACATACAATCACCCAGCAGGTACAGATAACCAAGTACATCATCTAAAATAAAGCATAATATAACAAAGATGTACATTCCATTGTTGAATAACAGCAAAGAACATGCATTCATGTAGGTGCAATGAGCTACACTTAAAACATAAGAGCTGATGTGCCAAAATACATCCAGGAATACAGTACCCAGAATAGATGTAAAAAGGAAAGCTGAGCCAGATCACGGTGAAAAAAGAAAAAAAAAAAGGGAGGAGGAAAAAACAGTTTCAGGGATCCAACTCCCTCCCCCCCCCCCCTTCTCAAGAACCTCCTACCTAATTTCCCACTGTAGCATGTCTCTTATATACAATTGTTTATACTAACAGTGCTTTATGTTAGATAACATACTTGGTTATATGTACCCGCTAGGTGATTGTATGAACTGTACTGTATATAATAATCCAAACTTATTGCTAAAGCAGTTTGGCTATGTGGTGTGCTCAATCTATGCATTTAAAAACTATTACCTAACTAGTTCCCCTCTGAACACATATCCTGACTAACATGTGTATGTACTTTCCTATTTTCAGCCAGCTTCATTCTGGTCATGTGATCCCCAGCCAGTGGTGACTACAGGGTAGAGGAGAGAGTGTTCAACAACAACTGCTGAAGTGTTTAGCAGTGACATCACCCATAGTCTTCCTATGGCCCATCCGTTGTCAGCATTCCCTCCGCTCCCCTGCTAGTCTGCTATAACATTTCCAACATGCTCATGGACTCTGCATTGCTGGAGAAGAGGCAAGTAGAAGTAAAACTTTAATATACACTTCTGGAATTTACCCCTCTCTGATATCTGGTTCTTTGTTCTGTTCTGCTTTTAAGTTGAATTAAACTCCACAGGTATGCACAGCATATTAACACATTATTTTCAACTAAATGGTCTTGAGAACGCCCTGTGGGTGGGGCAAAACGCGTTGACATATTTCCGGCTGGCCGTCCCGGCGTCCGACGTTATTTCCGGTGAAGTGGAACGCACGCTGAGCAGAGCTGAGGCCATCTTGCCTAGTGGAGGAAGCTGATTCTGAGGTCTGTCATCCTGCTGGGTTACCTGACTGTGGGGTCTTATTGGAAGATTTATGGAAAATCGTTATCTTAACAATAAAATGCTGGTTATTATCCTTGAAAATGTGAGTGGTCTGGTTTAAGGGTATTGGGATTGAAAGTCATAACGGTATCACGCTATTTGGCTTTTTTTTCTTCCTGAAATTTGGCGGAGTTGGTGAGGGGAGGAATCGGAGGAGGTTATCTATGTTCTAGAGGAGGCAATATCTGGAGGCTAATAAAAAGGGGGTCCAGGAGCCCTTAATAATCCTGAAAGGTGTTATACTCACCTAATATCTGGTGAGTGCGGTTCATGTTGGTTTTGCACTGGTGGATGGTGGAAGGATTACTAATGGCACTGAAGAATTTGTAGCTTGGTTTCTATCACGGGACTTTTTTTGGATTTATCACTGGACTTTATTTTTTGTTTTTGTATGTGCCACAAAATATTTTGTTTTTTTGGACACTTATATATAAATTGTATTAATGTGCATTAATATTGCTTATAGGGTGGGGATGTTATAAATTGCTTTCTGGTGGGTTTTGCGCTGTTTTTAGTTGAAAATATTTTTTTTGGTTTTATACTTATGCACAGCAGCATCTCATGTGGTTAAGGGTGTGGGGAAGGAGGTCCTGGGCGCTGAGGTTTTTTTCTTTTTATATTAACACATTATGGCTGACGTACCTCGCAAGCAACCCCCTCCAGAGCTGCGGTCTCAATGCTCTAAATGGTCAAGGGCATTGCCATCTCCTCCTGGTCTTCCTTCTAGGGTCTAACATTTCGGCCACCTGACTGGCCATGAGATGATGACGTCACACCAGCACATGTGGATGAAAGTCATATCATCATGACAAAGAGCACAACACGAACAGGCAGGTAAAAGCAATTATGTCAGAAGAGACCAATATGGTCTCTCCCATCATAAAAATCCAGCCGTTTTTAATTTTTTAAGTAAATTCCACTTTAAGTATTTTTTTCCAGAGAATTTTCTAATAAAATTTAATTTTTTATCTGTTGAGTACGGTATATGTTCACATCAGGTTTCAGAGCAGATCTATTGTAAAAAATAACTAGAAAAGTCTAGTTAAACTAGATGTTAATTTCTAGCTAGAATCAAAGGAATGTAACCATGTTTCCCTGAAAACTCTGTTCATATAATACACAACAGGCTCAATCCATTAAGGTATAAATGATTGTTATTTACCATATCCATAATATTGCTCAAAATTAGAGCAGAAATGACTGCATGGTTTAAAATAATAATTGTTCTATTAATTATGTGTTACCATTTATTTACCATAAATTGGGTGTACACGATAAATGAAGCTGACATACAACGCAGGACACCTGTACTGAGATAATTATGAGGGCCACCATTTAGGACTTCATTCTAAACTTGCTAGTTTTCCGGTGGCTTAAATGATGTCCTCCTGATCTGGTCAGTTGTTCAGATAAAGAAAGTGTATGTAAATCCTACCGTTATATCTCTTTTTTTGATCCCTTTGGTCATGGAAAGCATTTTGTTTTATCTATTTGAGAAGTGCAAAAAAAAAAAAAAAAATATAAATAATAATGCCAACAATCTTGTCAGCTGCATGGTTTTATTTTGATGCACTGTTATCAATCAGCATGGTTCTCTGTGAACTAGAGAAACCCTTACTTTTTGTGTTTTTGACATGAGCAGGTGTTCAATAGTCCAGTCCCATGTTGACAACACTGCCCATAAACAGATAACAAACAAGTGGGTATTGTCATCCTATGAAAAAAGTATGTTACTGGCAGAGTTACCAGGTGAAAAAGAAGTCTGAAAATATTAAAACTAATGCACCACCACATCTAAGGACTGGCAAGTGTCAATGTATTACAATTTTGTTCTAGGGTTTAGATATGCATTAAAACTATTTGATCAGGATATCATTTAGTGAACAGGTATTTTCAGAGGCAGAGGTCAGCAATGGCTGCCTACATAATTTCCTCAGGACAGGTGCCCTTTAAAAGAAGCATATACAAAATGTATTACCTCTTCCTACGTGCCTACACATCACAGCCTGAGCAAATATCATCTGTCCACAGCGTAACATACAGCCCCAGCCAGTGTCAGAGCTTGGTCCAGTTCCTCCTGAGAAAGAAAAAATTACTTTACTTGAAAAGTGCCAGTATAATGCCGAAATCCTCCAAGACAAACATGTATGAAACCAAACGGATCCCACCAGGATACAGAGCAAAAACTGGTCCTTGGCAGAGTTACAGTAAAACGGTGCCATGCATGAAAATGATCCTAGTCCCTTAACGTTTTGATTACTTGCAGTTAAAACCTAAATGGCGAGTTGTCATTGCTGACTTGTGTCTGAAAATACTGGTTGCCCGACTGTCTCTGGCTTGTACTTTCAGAGCCAGTGACCCAGGATAAGCATTTAGCAAGGCCATCCGAATGATCTACATACTTGTCCCAAGTCATCAGAAACTGAGAAAGTACTGAAGCTTTTAGATGTGCACATTGGGTATACAGTATTTTTACAAGCTGAGGCCACCAATGGCAGCCTACATACTGTATACCTCTCAATACAGTTTCCCTTAACCCTTTCACTGCCATAGTCATTTCTGAGTTTTCTGCACTTGTTTAAAAAAAATAATTTTAGGCCTGAAGATTAACTAAATCCCCCAAATGTATATTTTCTGAAAGCAGACCCTCTGAAGAATAAAATGGTGGTACTGTAGCTGCAATTTTTTTTATGCCAAACGACACTGCAACAGTATAGAATAATACATTAAGTAAATTTTTTGGCACATAATTGCAATACATTACCCAATTTTTGGTAAAATATAAAAGATAAGGTTGCTCCAAGAAAACAGATACCAAACATGTCAAGCTTTATGTTTGCATACGCATGCAAAATGCTGACTAACTTTGTTACCATAGATTTCCATAGGTGACGCTTTAAAGGCCCCTGCAGGTCATCAGTTAGAGTTAATCATGAACAGGCGGCTCAGAATTATTGTACTCACTCCAGTGTGCTCAGCAATATGCAAAATGTATATCACAAGCAACGTTTTTGTGCGTAGGTACCCCAGATGGGTGAGCTCACAATTGTGGGAGCAGAACAGAGTGAGGTGACTTACAGTCACAGCTCTCTGCTCAGAGCGGCAGGCAGAACGGAGCAATCGGCTGCGTCTGATCACTCAGCTCTCAGCCTTAGAGCCAGTGGGGGATAGATGCAGCATTGGACTGATGCTGCATCTACCTAGGTAAGTATGATTAAAAAAAAAAAAGAAAATGGATAGAGATGGGTTGCACCTAAATGGAAGGGTGTCTGCTAGGAGGGGTTCTGGGGAGGCTGGAGGAGTAAAACTAAACTAGGATTGATGGGGGAGGGAGAATTAGATTATAATGGGGTAGACGGATTAGACAGGGGTCAGTCCTTATTGGTGGGTGGAACGGGGAAAGATGGGGGCAGGAATATGGGGGCAGGGATATGGCAGATTGTTTGTTACAAACAACCAGTGGAATTGGTACCATTTGTATGAAGATATAAAATATGCAAAAGGTGTCAATGAATTAAAGTGTTTGTTCACCAATGCCAGAAGTCTGCCAAGCATAATAGGTGAGTTGGAAGCTTTGGTGCAAGAAGAGAACTATGATTTAATTGGTATTGCAGAATCTTGACTTCATTCTTAACATGACTGGGCCATTAATATACCTGGCTATGTTCTCTTTCGGAGAGACAGGGTAAAAAGGAAAGGTGGTGTCTGTCTCTATGTGAGAAGTGATCTCAGAGCGAGTGTGAAAGAGGATCTAGAAGTGTGATGATGCTGAAGTATTATGGGTGGAACGGCACATGGTGGTGCATTCTACAAAGGTAATCATTGGAGTTTGTTATAGGCCCACCCAGTGTTAATGAGGTGGAGACTTAGCTCCTTGCACAGATCGAATGGGGCTGCAAGAACTAAGATAGTGATAATAATGGGGGATTTTAACTACCCGAAAATTGACTGGAGTAATGGTACTGCAGGAACAGTTAAAATGTTAAAAAATGTATAAACCTACTACAGGAAAATTTTATGGTACAGTTCATAGAGGCCCCAACTAGGAATAATGCTCTGCTGGACATGCAGAGCTTATTATGAATGTCCATATAAAAGAACATCTGGGTAGCAGTGACCATAACATGGTTTCATTTATTGTTAGCTGTAAACATCAAGCAAATACAGGAAAATAAAACTGCTCAACTTTAAGAGAGCTATTTTTCCAAGGCTGAGAGCTGCTTTCCAAGACTTAGACTGGGAGGGAATATTGGCATCGATGAACACAACACAGAAATGGGAGTTCTTCAAAAAAGGCTGTATGTGAACACACTGTAAAATATATTCCCATGGGCAACAAGTTTAAAAGGCTAAAAATCAAACCTATGTGGCTTATGACCAATGTTAAAAAAGCTATAGATAAAGAGAAAAGAGCTTTTATTAAATATAAAAATGAAGGAACGCTATCTGTTAAACATTACTAAGAATATAACAGAATATGCAAAAAGGAAATGAATGATGGATTGCAAAATATAGCAGGACAAACCCCAAAAAATGTTTCAAATATATTAATAGTAAAAAAGTCAGGTCTGAGCATGTAGCCCCCTTACAAAATAATCTAGAGTGGGTGACTGGGGACAAAGATAAGGCAAACTTATTAAATGCCTTCTTCAGCTCTGTGTATACAAAGGAACATGGGGGAACTCTTGTCCATAATGGGCATGGTATTGACACAGCTCCAGATGATCCACATTGGCTCACAATTGATATGATCCAGAAATATTTAGACAGACTAAAGGTGAATAAAGCACCTGGACCGGATGGCATACACCCACAGGTCCTTAACCTCCCTGGAGGTATTCCCGAGTGTAGCTCGGGGTAAAGTTTCAGTACCAAAAGCGGTAACCCCGAGCTACACTCGGGCTTACCATGCAGCGCTGCTCCGGCATCTGTTCTTCACTTACCTTGTCCTGCGCTCCCGCGATGTCCCTCCTGCAGTGTCCCCGGCAATGTAATCCGGCGGATGCCGGCATCTGTCATCTAGGTTCCGTCCCCTGCGAGCGTCGGGACGTACGGGGATGGAACGGCGGGAAATTTGAAAATGACCAAAAGTGACATTCACTCAATACACTAATATCACATAGTAAAACTTTACTGTATCAAACCATTTCACATACATTTTGTCCCTAGTGCTTTGTCCTGTGCCTACCTACCTGCATTTGTACCGTTCTTTCTGCCTGGAAACTGAGAAATGTCCATGGCATCCAAAAAGCGTCCCTTTAGGTCAAAATCGGTTTTAGACCAGCTAGAGAACAGCGATAGTAAATAAGAACTACTTGCAGAATTGAGTGATAATGATTCGTGGGGAGATTCGTCTTCAGACACTGAAAATGATTTTGCGACTTAGCTCAGTGATGTGCGAACTTGGCTCTATATTTCAAATTTCAGTGTTTTTGGTTTGGTTATATTATTGAATTAAATTTATTATTATTATATTAATTTTTATGATTATTTATTAAATTATAATTTATGATTTCGTGTTTCAAATTTTATCATACCTGGAATGTTTACTAGACTCTTGTTCGGACAGATTTCAGTGAGTTATTCCTAAAAATTACAGGCCTACAATAAAAAAAACTATATATTTCCATGCAAAAAAATGTACCGCTTTGAGCACAGAAATATGGACATAATCAGACCGCTAGGGAGGTTAAAGAATTGAGCTCTGTCATTTCAAAGCCATTGTGTTTAATTTTTAGGGACTCTTTAATGACTGGCATAGTACCACTGGATTGGCGTAAGGCCAATGTGGTGCCAATATTTAAAAAGGGGTCAAAATCTTTACCAAGTAATTATAGACCTGTTCGTTTATCTTTTATAGTTGGGAAGATACTGGAGAATTTAATAAAAGACTACATAGATAAGTTCTTGCTGGAAAAAAATATTTTAAGCAACAGACAGCATGGATTCACGAAAGACAGTAGTTGTGAAACAAATCTGAAATCCTTCCCTCTTACACCAGGTTTTCAGCCATGCATTGAGTTTTCTAATCTCCCCCTGTCTTTCCTGAGTTGCGCATGGCACAGGTAATATTTCAGAGAATATAGAAAAATGAAGGGAAGGAAACGGGGGAAAAATTGCAAATGGACTTTAAAGGCACAGAAATTTCAAACACATATTAGTAAAATCATTTGTACTTTATTATGCCAATGAGTCATGAAAACACATACTGCAGTTTAAAAGAGATCATTATATACTGTCCCCGCAGAGAATGTCCCACAACCCACCATGTTACAAGGAACACACTAGTGATGAGGGATACAGAACCACCAGAAGGATCCTATGGGGGGGTGAGAGACATTAAGCCGCGGCTTTTAAACTGCAAGATGTTTTTTCATGACTCATTGTCATAATAAAGTACAAATGATTTTACTAATATGCGTTTGAAATTTCTGTACCTTTAAAGTCCATTTGCAATTTTTCCCCCCGTTTCCTTCCCTTCATTTTTGAATGTGTAAGGTAAAGTCTACTGGTTTGGAAAAATCTGTATGTAAATGGATAGAAAACTGGCTAAAAGATCGTATTCAGAGAATAGTGGTTAATGATTCATACTCTGAATGGTCTAGGGTTGTCAGTGGTGTACCCCAAGGTTCAGTGTTGGGACCCTTACTTTTTAATATATTTATAAACAATATAGGGTCTGGGATTAAAAATAAATTTCAGTCTTTGCAGATGACACCAAGCTGTACAGTGGAATAATGTCCTTACAGGATGTCTCCAATTTACAAGCTGACCTCAATGCACTGTTTAATTGGGCAACTATGTGGCAAATGAGATTTAATGTTGAGAAATGTAAGGTTATGTACTTGGGGGCTAAGAATATGCATGCATCATACATACTAGGTGGGTACAACTGGGGGAATCAATGGTGGAGAAGGATCTGGGAGTTCTGGTAGATCACAAGCTTAATAATGGCATGCAATGCCAAGCTGCGGTTTCTAAAGCGAGCAAAATCCTTCTTACATTAAAAGAGGTATAGACTCCAGAGAGAGAGATATCATATTACCCCTGTACAAATCATTAGTAAGACCTCATCTGGAATATGCAGTTCAATTTTGGGCACCAATTCACAAAAGAACATTGGGGAACTGGAGAAAGTACAGAGAAGGGCAATCAAACGGATACGAGGCATGGAGGAGATCAGCTATGAGGGAAGATTAGAGGAACTGAATTTATTCTATCTTGAGAAGAGGAGATTAAGGGGGGATATGATCAACATGTATAAATACATCAGTGGTTCATATAGTGAACTCTGTCTAGAATTCCTCACCTTCAGGTCATCACAGAGGACAAGGGGGCACTTTTTTCATCTGGAGGAAAAGAAAATTAACTTCCAAACACAGAAAGTTTCTTCACAGTGAGAGCTGTGAAAATGTGGAATAGACTCCCTCAAGAGTTGGTTCTGGCCAGCTCAGTGGATTGCTTTAAAAAAAGGCCTGGATTCTTTCCTAGATACACAGAATATAACTGGATACTAGCATTTATAGGTAAAGTTGATCCAGGGAATATCAGATTGCCTCTCGGGGGATCAGGAAATAATTTTTTCCCCTGCAGGAGCAAATAGTTTCATACTTTGCTGGGTTTTTTTGCCTTCCTCTGGATCAACTGTGGGTTTAGGATTCTCTTTTTTCCTAGGATATTGGTGCTCTACATTTTGAGTCTATGGGTGAGCTGAACTAAAAGTGACAGTGTGTGGATATCTGCAAGCTGACATGCTGCTGGAGTTAGGAGATTGCCTTGTGAAATACAGTATATTGAGCGCTGTATGACCACTCTTGATTGGGGTGTCATTCCATTCTGGTAAGCCCCCCTCTTATTGTACTGGAGTGGTGTGTGGTTGCTGTGTGGTGATCTGAAGGCCTTTGGGATTCACATCTGTCTTCTGTTTGACTTTATGAAGATCAACTTTTGGGACTCGCACGTTTATCTGAATTGTTGTTTGGTTTCTGATTTAAACATTACTATTTGTATGCATTAAGAAAATAGGGAATAGATCATATATTCACACATATAAGCACTAAAAAATTTTTCACTTCTAGGTGGTTTCATATTCAACCTTTAGTGCTGCACTTTTGCATATCAACTCAATGATTGTCAGAAAAGTGTCAAAATTCCTTAGCTCTATAGTTATGAGCCAGATACTCAGACAGTCCTAACGCCAAAACATCAGCCTGACAGCCAGGGAACTAGCATTCTTAAGGTGACTGCAACCTCTGAAATGAAAAATGATCAAAGTATATCCCTTTATAGTGTGTATTTGCCTTGATCCATAGCACTTACTATGTTTCCTCTGATCTCTACTCCCTCTGCTACTTCTGACAGCCTAACCGGACATCAAGCAATCCAGAGAAATGGCTTTACCCCACCCCCCCAGCACATTGGAAGCGATTGACAGCCCTTGACAGCGATTGACAGTGAGTGTGTGTTTCCATTCCCTATATTCATGTTTCAGGTTACACTGAGCTCTCCTCTCTATGCTGTGCAGTGTGTGTGACATCAGATCCCCGCCGCTGTCTTCTGCAGCTTAGAAAAAGCCTTTGATCCATGTGTTTTAGAAGGCTGTAGAAAAGAGTAGGCTGCAGATAAACAGGTACAACAAATGTAGGCGGATCTGTTGCATCCCTGTGTATAACCTGAGGCTAGTCACTTCAGTGGGTATATGTAAGGGTTTACAACCACCTTAAAGCCAACGTTACTATTGGCAACATCCACTATTCTCTCTACAAAGAAAAAAACATGTTATTTTAAAGACCGAGACAGGTGATGTTTCAAATGCTGACGCGGTGCAAAATAACATACTGGCGCAACTTTCTTTACTAAATCCAAGATTTCCATCTGACTTTTTCGCATGCAATTTAAAGGCTCTTGTTACCTATTGGTGGAAAGTTCCGCCGGTATGTAAACCACAATCTCGATGTAACATCATCCAGAAGCTCCTCTTTTTCTGAAAGGAAAAATAAAAGGCAAGTGTGTATGAAAGCTTACATACTAATAAGTGTCTGCGCTGCATATAGCAAACAATTATATCATACAAGAGTGTAATACTGCTATCAGTTACTATGATCCCTTTACAGCAGATATACAATGCAAAATCCCAATGCACACGTTCCTGTATTAGAGATGGCTGTATGTGTAAGCAGGTGCTGAAGCGAACATCGGATGGAAGCGAGAACAGTCAGAGGAGAAGAATGTCACCAGCACACCGTGGATCTTCAGTGTGAGTCCAAAGGTTTGCATCACATGCCTGATGAAGGGGTCCTGCGAGGCTCCAAAACATTGCTCTTGCTGTAACTATGTGAATGCTGCATAAAGCTTTGCACCCATGTTGCAGATCCACAGGGATGTTCTCATCTTTAGAGCAGCTGGGACATGAGCACATGACATCTGTATCACTAGGCTCAATCAATAGATTTTTCTTGCTTGCAAAAAAAAAAAAAAAAAAAGGTTCTGCTTGTAGAGTATATGTCACCGACAAGTAAACTTAAAATAGTATATAAACCCAACATTTTTATTTCCTGATATGTGCCTGCTACTGCTATACCATGTACTTTTATGAAAAAGGTATCCTGTTCTCAGCTTCCTTTCACTGTGAAGATCGGTGTGCTGCTGCTGTTTCTCCTCCCCTAGCTCTTAGGCAGCTGAGAACAGAAGGTGACCACTTAAAAAATATAAAAAAAAAAACTAAAAAATATTAAAAAAAAAAAAAAAAAAAAAAACAAACAAAAAAAAAAAAAAAAACTGCAGCATTGTAAAATGTTCAATTTTATTGTCATACCTGTAGGCCATTTAGGTTCCCCCAAAGCCTGGCAGAAATCTCCCAGTTAGCAGCCCCCACCATTGGTTTTCACATTCTAGCAACACGGCAGGACGTGGGGATTACTAAGTAGGAGTTTTTTGGCCAGGGTTCTAGGGGGACCCAAGTTGCCTACAGGTATGACAATAAAATGTATGAATATTTTACAAAGCTGTGCAATTTTCTTGAAAAGGTCAACTTAGCCTTTAAATGTGAAACAGCTACCTATACACATCAATTCTGCACTTTCTATGAACTGGATAATAGTTGTAGGATTACAACTCAGTGGAAAACATGGACTGTGGCAGAAGATTCAGCAATGTCATTTTAGTGCAGATCCAAATACAGATTACTGGGCTGGTTGGATCATTTCATCTTTATCATCCTTAACTGCAAGGCAGTATGGTATCTCCTCATAGATATTGCTTGGATAAAAGATGTGCTGAATTGCTATGTACGCATATCTCACATGACTGCCGCTATTGTCTCTTGTGTAATGCAATTGTTTTAAATTGATACCAGATTTAGCCATCACTATGTATGAAACCAGCCTGTGCAGCCCGATGTATACAAGCATAGCCACCTTTAGGCCGCTACTAGCTGCAGAATTAGCAAAAGTCCATTTTCATTATTACTAGTGGAAAAATGAAAAATCATTTGCTAGAGAGGGAGCGGCAATGAACATATGAGTGAATGCACTGGATAAGGAAAGTTAAACTTTAGTAATTATTTTGCTTATTGTTATTAACGCAGGGAATGGATATTAGCATAAAACCAATCCACTGCATGTTTGTTAGCTGCAGGCTAACCCTAACCAGAGGGCCAAATATAGCAGTGTGAGCAAGTGTCACTTAAAGCAGATCTTCAGTCAGTTTGTAAAGTTTATTCTATAGGACTTGCCTCTCCCCTCCTTCAGTGTCAATTAAATAAAACATTATATTTTGCTGCCTCTAAACACTGTAAATCTAGTAAAATCTAGTCTGGTCTTCATCTAGGCAATTTGCCTATGCGAATGATGTAGTCTGCCCTAGTCCCATTGACTCCTACTATATTATCATCACTAATCCCAAGAGCCATTGGGCTTTTTTTTTTTTTTTTATTGTAGGATGTCCACAGAGAGGAGTGCAGAGGGGAGTAGAGGAGAGTTGGAGATGGGCAGAGACAGCCCAAGAAGGGCAGAGACTGGAAGCACTTTGTTTTTATTGCGCAGGCACGGCCGAGCTATACCCTTACCACACATGCACTTCTAGCACTTTGTGTACATGTTACTATTGCAGCTGAAGTTCGCTGCCGCTACTATGGAAACTTGTACACAATACGACGTAAGCACTGTGCTTAGAGTCTACTGGGTCTATTTACAAATATTTTCACACAAGATTCACAGAACTTTCATTCAATATTCTGATAAAAATACCACCCCCCAACTAATCTTCATACCTGAATAATTTTAGAATTTTTTTAAAAGATGTTTTTATTTCATGCATTGTTTTATTTAAAAAATGCTATCTTATTATAGGTGGATGTGCAAAAATGTAATATGAAAATTATTTTGTTTTCCCCTGACAGTTTAACTATTATATACATAGCACTGCAGATAAGTGAAAGTGGCTGTGTTCATCTGCAGGCTTTCATTTTTGTCAACAGACCTACAGCCTTCATGTGATCTCTATGTCAGAGCTGCCAATGTTCACAAAATCAGGAAACACTCTGGCTGCTTCCCATTCGTTAGTGGAGTGCACAGGTGTCATTGACAACTGGAATTGAGAAACAACATCCACAAGAAGTGTCGGCTGCTAGTTCTCAAAGGGGAGAATGCACTTTCAGGATTTTGTTCCAGGAAATGTTAAAGTGGAGCTCCACCCAAAAGAGGAAGTTCCACTTTAAGCCTTTGTCCCCCGCTCCCCATTAAGGATTGGCACTTTTGGGCTTTTGGGGAGCGGGTACACAAATTTGACTGGTACCCGCTTCCACTTCAATTGCCTAGGCGATCGAAAGCGGAACTCGTCCTGCCCCCCTCCCTCCACGTAGTCTTTTACACATGACAGGTCCCAGACGACTACAGGCCATTCATAAAGCGCAGCACTTCTCGCACATGCACAGTGGGCACCTGGCTGTGAAGCTGCAAGCTGTCACAGCCGGGTGCCCACAATGAAGATGCCGGTGCCAGGGAGAGAAGACGACCGGCGAAACCAGCGGTGGTGAGAACACCACAGGATCATGGGACAGGTAAGTGTCTGTATTTTAAAAGACAGTACAGTTTTTGTAGCTGCTGTTATTTTTTTTTTCCAGGTGGAACTCCGCTTTAATATACAGACTGCAGGCAGGAAGGTGTTAAGCATGTTCACAAAAATTAGAGGCAGCCTGTAATGTCACTGGAAATGGGACTTTGTGGACAAGGATATATAGGATGGCTGTTCAGATAAAAAAACAGCATACGGCTACATTGGACATTGTTGTATGTATTTTAAATGGAAAAGACTAAATCAAGATAATTCAATATATGTTTGTATATGGTTATAGAGGCAACATTCATATTTAGAAGAGGATAGAAAAGCATAAATTGTAGATGAACATTGAGGTATGGTTCAAAGTAAAACTTTCACAAACTAAGCACATGATGAATCACGTGTCAATACAATCAGCAGATGTAGAGATACGCACAGCTGAACATATTTAAAATTTTGAATGTTGTTGAAAAAGGATTGCGTTCTCCATTTTCTTACTGGTCCATTAATGTGAAGAGTGGCCTAGTGGCCACTGGCCATTAAGATAATGGGATGAGGCCAAAGTTGTCCTTACAGGACAGCTACATATAGCTCTGGACATGTGTACCCTGGGTTAATGTATGGTTATCAGTTCCATTTTCATCACCGTGCTTACTTTATATTACAATACCTGTCAATGCACTGTAGTTCTTCCCTAGTATCCATACTGGCTCTTCAGTTTCTGGAAAGTCAGGTGCATCAGAAAAACGGAGTGTGTCATAGGTGAGAGTTGCTGTGAGAAAAAAAAATGACTCAATTATATGATTTATGCAGTATTCCTTACTTTAGGTGGATTCGTAAAAAGCAGTGAAGTATCAAGTAAAAAAAACCCTAGAGACCAAATTTCATTTTCCAAGAGTCAGGAGATCTCCTTGCTATTCCACAAAATCACTTAATAAAGCAGTATTAAACTCAAACATTTTATATTTGCAGCCTATTAATCCTTGTGATGGCTGCATTAGTTTTCTTTCTACTTTTTCCCCCCTTTACTTTCACCTGGTGATCCAACCAATAAACTGTCTCCATTTCCATTCTGCATGGAGTAGCAATGAAGACACCTTTGGACAGCAGCACTGTCAGGATGGGGGAAGGGTAGTGTTAGACTAGCAGATGTAGATGGATTTGACTAACAAGTTTAAGCTGAACTCCAGCTAACAGTTTTGAAGTAGTTATAACAACAGTTTTAGTTTGGACATTTTGTTATGCCTAGCACAAGTTTCCAGGCATGTTCCAGTACCCAGGGAACTGCAGGTGCCACGTACTATTCAACTGAGTGGCTATACACAGCTGTATTATTGCTTCCTTGCATCAGTGTTTGATCACACATGCAAGTACAATTTTTTTGGTCAATGTAAGGCAGGGGGGGAGGGGGGAGAGGGTTGTCCGTTTTTGTGTTGCCTAGGGCAGCACAAAACCTAAATAAATCACTGAGTACAGGTGCGATTTTGCTGGCTCTCTCTCTCTCTACCCAACTGCCGCCCACTGACTTCAATGCAACAATTCCTGTCCATGGCAATCCTATGTGAACAATTATCCCCGCATGCCACTATCACTTGTGAGTCTGGAACGCACCGCTTCAAACTCCCACAGGACCCTTGTCGTAATGGCACTCAAAACACATTGCATCTGTGTGAACCACTTCAATAGGAACACATAATATCTAGCCGGTCATGCGAATATGTGAGTTTGAAAACACATCCAAAATAGCGTATGTGTAAACCAGGGCGGCTCCATTAGCACCTTGGCATTTTGGGATAGCATCAAAATTGCTGCAATTCTGCCCGAGATCACAAAACGCAGGTTAATTTGCCATTATTTTCAATGGCACCTAGAAACATGGTGCGATTTTGCAAGCTTCATGCGAGGCGAATAGCCGATAATGGTGGCAAATCGTATCGTGTGAAGTTTTTTCCCCAAAAGAAGCTACTGCTTCCCACATTTTAGGTGCCATTGAAAATAATGACACCTGAACCTGTGTTTTGCGACTGTAGTGCGTTTTGGAATTGCGGGCAGAAACGCAGCGATTCTGACGCAATCCCAAAATGCCCAGGTGTGAACGAGGCCTAACAGAGTGGACACCGGAGCTTGATTTGGCTGCTCAGCAGGTGCTTGTACTGAGCATCCAACTGCTACCTTGTGCAAGGGTAACCTGAAGAATAAAGGTTTTTATAGTTTCTCATTGGGGCTGGCGCCTTATTTACTTGCTTAGCAGAGGTGCTTCTGCTGAGTGTTAAAAGAGCCCAACACTCCCCTTTCCTGACAAGCACCCAGACAGTGCTCGTCACACTGCAAGGTCTCTCCCCTCCCTGCTATTCCCCAGGAGTGGTGCTGGAGACAGGCAAGGAGGTGAGTAGGATATAAACAGAGCAATGTTAAAAACTTTAAAAGTTTAAGTCGCCATAAAGCCCCTTTCATTTTTAAGAGTCCCAGACATTCCTAAAAGTACCTCTGCATAATAGAAAAAAATAAAAATGAAGGGTTGAGGTCTTTTATCAGGACAAGTAGATTGTCATGAGGGATAGGTAGACTGGGACCCCAATTTAGTTCCTGGACAAGCAGTTTTTAGTTACAAAATGTGCACACTATTTCCATAAATAGCACAATAAAAAAAAAAAAGGAAGAAGAGGTAAAAGCCTAAGCTCTCACCTCAACGACAACAACCTCCTCGATTCCCTACAGTCTGGCTTCCGTCCCCTACACTCCACCGAAACTGCCTTACTCAAACTCTCCAACGACCTGCTAACCGCCAAAGCTAATGGCCACTATTCAGTGCTCCTACTCCTTGACCTCCCTGCGGCCTTCGACACAGTCGACCACCTCCTCCTCCTCAAAAAAAACTACACTCCCTCGGCCTCAGAGATTCTGCTCTCTCCTGGCTCTCATCCTACCTGTCACAACGCTCCTTCAGCGTTACCTATAATGCTACCACCTCCCTCTCACTCCCCCTCTCTGTTGGGGTCCCTCAAGGCTCCGTCCTCGGGCCCCTTCTCTTCTCCATCTACACCTCCTCCCTTGGCCAACTCATACACTCTCACGGCTTCAACTACCACCTATATGCCGACGACACACAAATCTATCTCTCAACCCCCCACCTCACCACCTCAGTCTCCGCCCGAATCACACACCTACTGAGCGACATATCTGACTGGATGTCGCTCCACTTCCTTAAACTGAACCTCTCCAAAACAGAGTTTCTTGTCTTCCCCCCAGCCCGGACACCACCCCCCATTGATTTCTCCATCACATCCAACAATGCCACCATCAAACCCGCCCCGCAGACCAGAGTACTTGGTGTCATTCTGGACTCCAACCTATCCTTCCAGCCCCAAGTCCAATCTTTAACAAACTCGTGCAGACTCCACCTCTGCAACATCGCCAAAATCCGCACGTTCCTAACCCCAGAAACCACTAAACAGCTCATCCACTCCCTCATCATATCACGACTCGACTACTGCAACTCCCTCCTCACTGGCCTGCCTCGCCGCTGGCTATCCCCGCTTCAGTCGATCCTGAATACGGCAGCCAGACTCATTCACCTTTCCAACCGCTCCGTTTCCGCCACCCCCCTCTGCCAATCCCTCCACTGGCTTCCGATTGCGCAACGGATCAAATTCAAAATCCTAACACTGACGTACAAAGCTGTCCACCATACTGCCCTGAACTACATCACTGACCTAATATCCAAATACCGCCCAGCACGCACACTCCGCTCCTCACAAGACCTCCTTCTCTCTAGTTCCCTGGTCTCCTCCTCCCATGCCCGCCTCCAGGACTTCTCCAGGGTGTCACCCATCCTCTGGAACTCCCTGCCCCAACCCATCAGATTATCACCTACTCTCCTCTCCTTTAGGCGCACCCTGAAAACCCATCTCTTCAGGGAAGCCTACCCCACTCCCTGCTAACTTGCCGACCTCCTCCACTCTTCCTACCACTCCATCCCCCACAGCTATCTCCTCCCTCTTAGATTGTAAGCTCGAAAGAGCAGGGCCCTCAATCCCCTCATGTTTTGCATTGTATTGTTATTGTTCTGTCACATGTTCTTCCCCCTTTGTAATGTACAGCGCTGAGCAAACTATTGGCGCTTCATAAATACTGAATAATAATAATAAATGTGTTATTAGGCAACCTAAATGAAAGATATTTTTATACTCCATGTCTGGTCATACACACAATCTTCAGCCAATTTCCTACAATTTTAGATAACAAAATGTAGCAAACAGATCAATGCAACTATGAAAGCCATGACATTAGCTCACTTTAGGCTTAGAACTTGACCTTGACACTTTTAGTCATGATGGCAGTTATTTAACATCTACAGTGCTTTAGTAAACTAATCATGATCCAGTTAGGGCTTACCCCTGCTATAAAGAGGATCTATTAATAGAATAGCCAGTACAAACAGACATAAGAGTGTGATGTTTCTATAAAGCGTCATTATGTACCATTATACATCACAACACACATCCCTGCTGGGAGAAATAAGTACTTTGCCAATATCTCCTAGATTGTAAGCTCCAAGGAGCAGGGCCCTCGAACCCCTCGTGTATCGCACTGTATTGTTATTGTACTGTCTCATGTATTGTCTCCCATTGTAATGTACAGCGCTGAGCAAACTGTTGGCGCTATATAAATACTGTATAATAATAATAATAATAATAATAATAATAATAAATAATATAACCTTCCCCTGCTGAGAATACTATGAAGCCATCATGGTGATCAAGTGGCTTTTATACTCTGAATTGCTAATCCAAAAATTCTGACTTTACTGGCTGCACATTTTTTTTTTCTAAATCAATGACTCCAGTAAGCATTGAAGTCAAGAGATCAACAAGACATTGAGACAATGAACAATTTCAAGTGAATGGGATGCCCTATGCGCAACGCACAGAATCATGTGAAAATCGTGCACATAAATCACAAGAAGGAGCACTTATTCCTGCTCCAGCATTGCTGAGCTACTTCTGCAGACATGTATTAGGCTCTCCATACACCTTACTATTGGACTGGAAAATCTCATACAATAACAATGTATTATGGAAACCTACCTAAACTATCCAATCAGGCAGGTCCTTGTACTACACAGTTGCTTGTGGATCTAAAGGAGATCGTACAATGATTGTAAAACACAGCAAGCCTTGGGTTGGCCACACACTATACAATGTGATTGTGCAATCTCCTTTAGATTTACCAAAACTATGTAACATGAGGGACACACACACACACTTGCTAGATCTAAAGCAGATAACACAATGTATGTATGGTCAGCTTTAGACGGACCAATAATGGGTGAACATCCAATAATAGCAATACTTAGAGCCAATCTCTGGGCAAAATCTTTTTTACACTAATCCCCCCCCATTGCTCTTTAACCCATCTTGAGAGGTGTTATGCTTTGCTGACCTAGAGAGCAGGGATGAGTTCAGGCAGGTCTGGATACTAGTCCAAACCTGCCTGAGTTATCTCACCAGGAAGATGTCACTGCACAAAGCCAATCAAAAGCAGCCAGGCCATTCTCTACCCTGCAGCTATAAGTTTGCAAGGGGTGTGGATTTGTGCAGCTCCTGGGTGGGAGATTATGACTGGCAATCTGCAGTGACATCTTCCTAGTGGGATAGCTCGGGTGGGTTTGGACTAGTATCTGAACACACCTGAGCGTATCCTTGCTAGTGAAGTGTTATACTCACCCAAGTTCCCCCATCCAGGTCCCTCGCTGACACAGTTTCTGCCTGCGAGG